AATTCTTCCTTAGTCTCACGAGAAAAAAGTTAAACGAAAAATAACGCTATGAAACTAAAAAATAAGAAACAGCCTACCAAATACGTTATTTTTCCATCTGGATTGAAGCATGCTGTTGTCATAACACTTTATTGACCAGAGTTCTAACCCTGAAAAAGGCCCGTGTGAAAGGTGCCGATGATCTAGGTTCGTGGACTGATGTCGATGACCCAGTTGTTGATGCAGCGGGAGTCGGTAGACGCAGTAGCAAGCGAAGGGCTCGTGCAGCAGGTACCCAATCGGCTGTTGAGAATGTAAGAGATGATGCTGCATACTTCATCAACATGTAAACGTGTCCTCATATTTACATAATTGAACCTAGGCTGTACGGTGTGATGCAGACAAGTCCTTTTTACACCTATTATTTTATATACGAATCCATAAACACTTCCCATTTAGAGGTGCAGTGTACGAATTCAAGAAAAAAGAGAGAAAGATAGAGAGAGAGTGAAGGAAAGTGAGTGAGAGAGAGAGTGAATGAATTAGTGAAGGAGAGAAAAAGTGCAAGTTCTTTAATTCTCGGCAAGTTTAAATAGAACAAGTCAATTTCTATAAATTTATTGCCTAGTTTTATGATATTAAATAGAGAGGATTGCTTTAAATAATTCATTTTACAATAAGGAACATGGAAGGTGGGTGAGTTTAGAATATATGGTTGGAGGGTTGGAGTAAAATTAGTGGGAGAGATGCCCGCACATCTTCCCCCCAGTGTACTTATGTATGAAGAAACTGATGGAAGAAAATAATTTCAAAACAATCTCTGTGCGATGAGAGAGTGGGAATATTAAATGGGTTCTGAAGTTCGGAGTAATCTGTAAATAATATGTGAGGTCTAAATGCAGAACCTAAGAAAGTGAGCGTATCTGTGGTAGAAAGTATGCATCGTAGTACAGGCATAAGCAATGACTTGTAGAAAATGATAGTTTTGAATTTGTGTAGCAGTGGGTATATTGGATAATATAATCCTAAGGTTTTTAATAATTTTTTTCGGATATGATCATTGATGGTCATCTTTTCATTGAAGGTCAATTATATATGAGATTCTATGAAAAGAGAAAGAGTTCAGAATGGAAGCATATAGAAGAGGATGGGAATATGCAATGAATGGAGCATTTGGAAATATTTAAGTGCAAATGATTTTTGGAACACCACTCACGGCACGAAGAGTTTCGTGAAGAAACTAAATAACATTGAAAGTCTATGAATTGATAAATTTGTGGGCCATCTTCAAATAGGAAGCGAGGAAAATTAGTCAAGCGAGTTTGATATACATAAAAAAAACAATAAAAAGTAGTGGTCTTAAATGATATCGATTTACAGGATTTCATTTTAACTATTTGAGATCTACCAGTAAGATAACTTAAACGATTTTATAATAGTTTTGTTAGTAGGTGTCCCTCAAGGCACTATCCTAGGACTTTTCTTGTTGTCACTGTTCATAAACGATAACTCTTACATGTTCAAAAAAACATATTTTCGATGATAATTTTGTCAATTAATTTAATATATATGAAAGTGTGAAATGTAATGAAGAGCTTATTTGTAGTTAAATTTGGACCAATGATTTTCAATCTATTAAAATCACCTAGTTTGTCGTAATGTGTAGGTTCTGCTTACTCCTTAATCAACTTCCACTTGTATCTCTCTTCTTTTATTATTGAGACATAATTTTTTCAAACTCGCTGGATTTCAAATCTTTTCACAGGTACTCGTTAATGCATCTACTAATCAATTCAAGCTGATCAATCTGATGATTTTCAATTCAGTAATTCGTCATTATTATGAAAGAAGGTGTTTAGGCCTTGGTTTCTCAAAAAAAATTGAAAGTTGAACTTTTCCGTTTTTCAATATTTCTATTTTGCTATTCTATTTGCTCAAATGAACTATTTGGATACATCATTTTACTTCATTTGTTTACTTTGTTTGTTTCATAGACGAAGAAGAAAAATACCTTTATTCTGGAACTGGTGTACCTTAAGAATAATATACACGAAATAAATAAAAGAAGTTCCTTCTATGAAATTAAAAGTAAAATGAGATAGAAATCTTGGCACAATGTATACCAGTAAGGCAGGCCAGAAGAGAAAATTACAAGAATATTTAAAAAAGAAATCAAATATTAACGTAAGGTCTCTGCTTGGAGGGAGAGGAGGTGATTATACAGGTTGGATTTAAAGGAGTAAAAGGAGGCAGCGTGACGAATAGAAAAGGGGTGGGAGTTCCAGAGTTTAGGGGCTCGGATGAGAAAGGATTTTTCGAAGGGCATGGGTTGTATGTTGCGGAAGGATAAGGTCGATTGGGGATGAGCGGGTGTTACGAGTGTGATGTGAAGAGTTGAATTGGAGGGATTGGGTGATGTAAGGAGGACGAGGAGTGTGGATGGACTGGAAAAGAAAGAAACCTAGGAAATATTGTGCACGGAAGGAGGGGTAGCGCCAGGAAAGTTCGGAATACCACCCCGACACCCGGGAACCCCGTGGGTGCCGAACACGAATTAGCATGAGAGGTGCGATGCTGGGGAGGGAATTGCCTGCACCCGATAATTATGGCGGTGGATTTGGACGGATTGAAGACGAGGGAATTTTTATGTGCCCATTCGTTGATGGAGTTTAAGTCTTTTTGGATCTTGAGAATGGCCGAATGAAGATCGGAAAGGATATGTACATTTGGGAGTCATCGGCATATAGGTGATAGTTACAGGACTGGATGGAGTCTGACAGGTCGTTGATATAAATGGAAAAATGGATAGGAGAGATGCTAGAGCCTTGGGGCACCCCAGATTTTAGTGGGAGGAAGGAGGAGGTAAGGCCATTGGGAAGGGAGACAGCTTGGTGGCGATTGGTAAGGTAGGAGTGGAACCAACGGATGGTGCTGGCGGAGAAGGAAAAAGATTCGAATTTAGAGAAGAAAGAAGAGTGAGGGACAGAATCGAAGTCTTTGTAAAAATAAAGAAGGACAAGTATAGTAACTTTCTATTGGTCCATTGCTAAGTGGAGTTCACTGATCATTTTTATTAGTGCTGATAGGGTAGAATAGCCTTGGCGGAAGCCAGATGGAGGGGATTGAGAAGATGGGACTGTTCAAGGTACCTGGAGACTTGGGCTTGAACTAATCTTTCTAGGGGCTTGGACAGGTTTGAGAAGAAGGAAATTGGACAGTAGTCTGTAGGGGAGGAGCTGGGTTGGGGGTTTTGTTGACAGGGTAGGCAAGGGCTTTTTGCCAGGCTGTCGGAAAAACAGAGTTTTGGAGTGAGTAGTTATAGATGTGAAGTAGAACATGTAGTAATATTGGGAGGCAGAGTTTAAGAAAATGGATAGGGATGCCATCAACCCCAATGGCCTTGCAGTGGGATTTGGTTATGGCCTCAAGGACTTCGGTGGGGGTTAGACAGGAGAACTAGAAGTTAGACGAACTGAATGAGGGCCCAGAGGGAGCATGTATGGGGATAGGCATTGATGAAGAAGAGTTGGGCGAGACAAAGTGGGTGTTTAATTCATCAGGGGAGACAGGATAGGAAGATGGTGAGTTGGGTGGGCGACATATGCCAAGGTTCCGAAGGAGCTTCCATTTTTCTCTATAATCAGGAGTGGTGGAGAGTGCCTTTTAGTAATGAAGGGCTTTGGCAGATATAGGATTGGTTTTTATTGCGAAGAGCTCGGAAGGAAGAGTGGTCTTCAGGAAGTTTGGTTCGACGAAAGCGCCTTCTTGCTGCTTCCCGTCTTTTAATTAGGGCGGATAGTGTGGGTTTTTATGGGGGCATGTTTGTTAAGGATATTGAGGAGATTGGAGGTTAGGAAGCCGACCATGGAATCGATGGATGAGCCACGGTAAATGTTGGCCCACTCGACCGACTCCAGATCTGGCTTCAAAACCTCGAATGAAAGGGTATCAAGAGGACAGAACCTTATGATTTTGGTGCGGGACATGGGGTAAGAATATTATATGTGATATGGATCAGGTCATAGGAGGAGATAGGGTGTTGGGAGAAGGATAGAATTTTATCGGCAGAATCCACAACCATAAGATTGAGCTAGGTGTATACAGAAGTAGTGTGATGTGGGGGATTAAATGGTATACATAAGAGATTAAGGGAGAACCATAGGTTTTCAAGGAGTCTTTTGTCATAGGAGTCAGAGGAATAATTTGCGTTGAAGTCACCTGTGATATCACGTTGGAATATAGAGGGCAGTAGGTGTACAGGGTGGAAAGGAATTAATTAGGGAATGGAACCTGAGGGGGTCGGTAAACAACTACAAAAAGGAGATGGTGGGAAAAGAGGGATATTTCACCAAAAATGATATTTATGGGGTGATTCGAGGATTGGTTTCTAGGATGCGACATCGTAGGCTGTTGTGGACAAATAAGCAAACACCGCCGCTGGTCCGGCCTAGCCTATCATGCCGGAGTAGGGAATAGTTAGGCAAGGATATGGAGTAGGAAGGGATGGTTGGTTTGAGCCAAGTCTCAGAGACAGCAATTATGTGGTAGAAGTTATCAGTGAAATGTACAAGGAATTCATCATAATGGGCACTATTCTTCAAGTAAACTAGGTCATAATTTTTTTTATGAAACTAATAATGCAATTTCATTTTAGCACCACTAGAGATAACAAAATATAAATTTTTGTCAGAAAATGGTCAAAACTTGAATTTGACCTCATTGCCATGATTCTGGTGTTTTAAAACTTTTAGATACCGACTTTCGCGAAAATCGTTGTAAATTAATTTTTAACTGATAATTTTGACGACCTTCTGCATGACTGGCATTGCTGTGCCATAACATCATTTATCTCAAAAGCCAGTGGACCGATATGCATGGTTGGCAATTCAATTTAAAGAAATAGTCAAGTTCATTTTAAAACTGTATCAAACATTAAAATCAGACTATCATGTCCATTTAAAAAATGAGGTTAATTTCCACCGAATGCATTCATTTCACCTTACTTTTTTAAATTTTTTTAGGCCAAGTTGACTTGTGGACGCAATCAGGAGTCGGGTGTAAATGTAGTTTTGACAGTACAAGTAAAAACTGTGCTTGCTGCGTTAAGGAAGGCGGATGTCCATGTGGCAGTCAGGCACCCAACAGATGTGCCCAGTGTGGCATCCAGCACTTCTGCACAAATAGTAAAAATTTCAATACTTGTCTTTAGATTATTATCATTAAATACATTAAATTATTAGCTTGTACCCAATTTTGAACAATTGTAAAAATTGAATTAAAATAAACAGCACATTTTATCCAATGCTTGCATGTATTGTTAATTATCTAAAGCTAATGACAGATCATTCGTTAGTATTTAATGAACAACTGTTTTATTATCTTTTTCTGCATGTAACTTTTAACATTGTTAATCATTATTTTTAATTATAGTGTGCAATATGACATTAGATGCGAGGGTTTTGATTTCCAAGTCGGGTAAAAGCTTCGGCCAATTGAAATCACCACCAGTGCAGGGGCCTACATTCTGCTGGTTTTCTTTCATACCCGATGATGATCAACGGGTTGAAATCCAAATATACAGGCTTATCAGTGTTGGAAAATTTAATGGCACGAGGTAATCTATTATTACAAATAATTTATAAATTTATTTTTAAAATATATCATTAATCTATACTTTTTTTTAACCATTTTAATTAAAAATATTGTCTCATCGTTCAGAGGCCTTGCATAAAGGCCTGGGTCCATATCCTCCGAGTCTTTATTATCGAAGGCTCAAATCTGAAAATCAGAGGGCATGTACACAATTTTCTCAGCAAGGACTTGGGGTCCACAGCCTCAAGTCTTCACCACCCAAGGTTCCCAACCCGAGACCACTATTGGCTGAGCTAGGATTTATAACTGGCAGGTACCAAGGGTAGAGCAGTGTTGAGAAGAGTTGAAGGGAATTGAATTGAGAGTTAAGAGTCAGTAGAAAAACTAACAGAATACACCTGTGTCCAGTTGCTGAGTTCCATTGCAAGTTCCTCACACAAAATAGAGCTCGCAGCGAACCACTGTCCACAAGATCGACAACCCAGCTCGTATGAGCCTCCCCACAATGAAGATGTACACGAGGAAATAAAATAAGCCAGGAGTGCCACCCCTTCAACTGGATCCAGTATTAACCTAATCCCATTTTCCCATATAGGCTCATTGTAACTCTTTGAGGGAGATATCCCCGGACATAGAGGAAAGATATAGATGCGCCACAGTATTTACTGTCAATAATTATTACTGCAAATTATATAGGCCTATTAAGGAACCCCTATAATGAAAATCGTAATGTAAAAAGTGCGTTTTTTCCATTGAGCTAAGCACTTTGTTTGGTGTTTAGTGTGAACACCTTCCATGCCAACAGGTTCTCTTAGTGTCAGAATTGCCACACCGAAGTCACACTGGGTCCGTGAGTCCAGGTTCCAAGTGGTGTCAACTGTTGAATCTCATCTTGGAAGATTGTTGGGACATGTCCTATGTGTTTTGCTAGGGTGTAAATTAATGATTGTCAATTAAAATTAACTAAACCGAAAGCATATTTATGTGATGTTTTTAGTTGTGAAGCAGGCTTTGTTCAGTTGGTGGATGGAATGTCTCCGACAACAAAATTTGGAGACACTCAGATTTGTGGGACCAACGAAAGATTTACACCTCCTGTCTTGCTCTTCGCTGACAATGGGCCAGCAACACTAATTTTCAAGTAAATATTTAACCAATTTGTTTTAGATTTTTAAGTTTGAATTGTCATCGTGTGAAATATAAATTAATTTTTAGGGTGGCAGAACCTACGCATAGATCCCAGTTCATGGCTTATTTCAGTTTCACGTCAGTGAACGGCAGCCTAGGCCCTGGCTTTAGACCTCGAGGAGGAAAAAGTTTAGATGGGACAGGTAAAACACAAAAAACATTTGTCATCTAGTACAATTTATTTTAAATTTGATAATTATTGTATATTTCTTGGTTTAAAGAAGAAAAACAGAAATAATTCTTGTAGAAGAAAATTGTCTATGGGAACAAATTTATCCAAAGTCAAATATATTAAAATTGTTTGAGTAGAAATAAAATTTACAAATTATTTTTTTATTTGATTCTAGAGTGTGATTGGATGTTTCAAGAGAGCGCATGCAAAGGGAATATTTGCCAGTTTTCAAGCCCTGGATATCCGGGGGTGTATCCGCCCAACAGAAGGTGTCTGTATCACATAGCCGGTTCTTCTCATTCTATGATTAAATTAATTTTTAAGGCTCTTTCTCTGCCGCACAGGTAAGTACATATTAGTATTTAAGAAAAACGAGTATCTCGATTCATACTACATTTTATCAAATTATTAATACATATTAATTAATTCTCATGTTGATTTTTTTTTTCAGCCATTGTAATTCTCATTTTATTAAAGTCTATTCTGGCCCAACCACCTCAAGCCCTGTGTTAACTACTTTGTGCAGAAATAGAAAACAAACAATCGTTCACGAAGGACCTAACCTTCTTTTAGAATTTAGGTAAATCTTAATTTATATAAAATGTGTAAATTGTGTAGATGAAATTATTTTAAATGGTAAAACATCGTCACACACAAATTGGGCATTTTTTTTAACATGGGCGTAGTTGCCATATAAGATTTTCTCTAACAAAGGGATGGTTAGGGATGGTTAGGGATTACAGGGTTAACACAAGTAAATATTGGATTTTGAAGGGGTGGGGAAGGAAGTAGAGATAGAAAGACATTTTTATATAAGGAGTCAGCTTTTTGAGATTAAGAGCAGTTCCATTGATGCCAATTTTAGATAACTTTTGAATTAGTGTTGTCAACAGAGTCAAATGCCCTCTTATGTCCAAAAAATGCCTACAACTTTTTTTAACAATCCAATTTTTGTAAAGTTAGTCTTAAAATTAATTAAGGTTTTTAGTTGAGATAATAAAGTCAATGGCACGAGCGGGATTCGAACCCACGATCTTCGGCTTGATACGCCGCTACTCTACCACTTGAGCTATCGTAACCTCGATCCACTTGGACACCAACTTCCTATCTCAACCACACCTTTTGAGTTTTCCCTCCTTTTTGCCATTTTTCAAATGTCGTGTAATCAGATTGGATTCTCAACAAAAAATGAAATGGCCACGGAGAGCTTTAGTGAAGTATACTTCATTTTAAATCATTAAATTCACTAATTTCGTGGTCCGCTTGACCAATTAATTAAGGTTTTTTAAAAAGGAGGGAAAATTTAAAAAGGTGCGGTTGAGATGGGAAGTCGGTGTCCGAGTGGATCGAGGTCACGATAGCTCAAGTGGTAGAGCAGCGGAATATCAAGCCAAAGATCGTGGCTTCGAATCCCGCTCGTGCCGTTGACTTTTTTATCTCAACTAAAAACCTTAATTAATTGTAATATATTAATTGGTCAAGCGTACCATGAAATTAGTGAAGTTAGTCTTAAAGTTAGGTTGAAGTTAGGTCTTGAAGGTTAAAAGTTAAGCCTTTGTATTTTTGGTGTCATAGACCCCCGTGGTTCAATTTTAATTATATTTTTCCAAATAAAAATAATACATTGATTTTTATCTAATTAATAATGATTTGATGACTTATTATAAATTATATTTTTCAACTACAAATTTTAATTAATAATGCATTCATCCAAAACTTTTATAAAATTATTTTAGCTCTGGTTCATCTATTCATCCATTTGATTTCAACGGATTTGTTGTTGCACTGGAATTTATCAATATTCCAACAACACTTGCTCCGACAACTATGACCTCAAAGACAACTCCAAGCAATATCTTAGGTATTTCATTTTAAATGTTGCTATTATCTTTTAAACTAATGAAAATGTATAAACCATATACTATAAATCCAGGAAGTATATCCAATAGCCATAAGAAAGAGTGCTCTCTCATATTTTATGGTAACGAAACAAGAAGTGGACATTTTGATTCAAGAGGAAAAGCGTGGCACCAGAATTGCACAGTTATGTTTATCGGAAGGCCTAATGATGTAATACATCTATCACTTGTAAATTATCACTTACGGTAAGTAATTTTTTCTAGTTTGCATTATAACGGACCGATATTTCAATTAATACAACTTTACATTTCTAATTCAATACATGTCCCTTCAAATTATTTAATTTAGTTGACATTGTGCTAATTGATTCCAGCGCAAGCGCTTGCCAAACAGCTCTTGAGATTTATAGTACATTTCCTTCTGAAGGGAAGAAACCACTTAAAAGAATTTGTAGCCCAGCAAAAAAGCATGCTCGTGATCCATCTAAGTAAGTATTTTCCATCTCTTCAGTAACTTCTATCTAGATAACGATTTCATAATTAATACAAGTTTGTGATGGTTTAAATACTATGGAGACATCATATGATTCAGCAGTACCACTGGGTGGTAGATATACTTGCATCCACCCTTGAGTAGAAAGCTGCCCAGGTGATTTCTTAGATGTGAGGCAAGCCTTAGATCAAGTGTGGCACCCAGGCTTGCTCTGGATTCTCAAGGAATCCAACCGAACCTTCCTTTTCACTTATTACCTTTGTCTGATATTCTTTCTGCTTTATTCATTATTTGGTTATTCAGATATCATGAGATGCGGTCGGGTGTGATATAGGTTTCAGAAAAATATTTTCTTTATCGTGCCAACGTTTCGATCTTTTATTGAGATCATCTTCAGAGCCTGGGATTTACAAACAATGTTTACATTTAACAAATAAATTTAGGATGTGGAAAAGTGAATTTATACAATGCAAAATATATTTTATATTCAAATTCCTTCCTCACCCCTTCAAAACCAAACATATATAAACATAAAACAGCAAAATCTCACTGGCACTCTCAACACGACATGCAAGGATGGCACAATTACACAGAAGACAAACACTTTGNGACTAAAAGCTTGTGTGAAGGCAAAAGGTGGTCATTTCGAGTAATATTATTTTATTTCAATCTTAAAAAATATTGGATTTTTTAAAATAAATTTCTTTTTCAAATTATCAAGTTTCTCTATTCCCTAATGGCCCTTTTTCTTGTAACAGAACTTATGGCAGGACTAGGTGCATCTCTATTTTACTTCCAACAAATGATTAACTTGGAACCCCTGCATTCAACTTATAAAAATAAAACAATGGAAAATAACACATGGTTCTTTTTGCTCACCCATCCATTCTTTCCAGGCAGGAATCCCTCAAGGTATCATCCTTGCTCAGATTCTCTCTATTCAGTATACACTGCAGATGTTCCTATAAATCCAGATTTTTTTTACCGGTGTTCTTCCATCGAAGAAACTCATTTTTGAAGGGGGTTGGGACCAAATTCATGGTCGCTGAGATCCGATCCCGCCCCTTCCATTGATGAGTGCCGTGTCAATTTCTCTCAATTGCGGCCATCGGCCCCTTAGGCGTCAGAAAAAGTCCAGAGGCGACGGTGGGGATCGAACCCACAACCGTGGAGTACACCTCATACAATGGACTTCAGAAAATTCCAGGGCAATCTGTCCTATTTGGAAGGATAATTCAATAAATATAGGGTCGCATTCAAAAAAACCAAATCCAAGCAAATTAACAGATTATCTCTCTCATCCAATGTATACAAATTTGTTCATCTCTCAGCATCCAACATTATCCACTTTTTAGGACATTACATCGACTAAAAATAATAGAAGACGTTATAAACTACTCAAAATTCTTGACAACATGACTTTCACTACAGAACAAGTGCTTCATTTACCTATCACTACTACGGAATTGAAATTTTGGGCCTACACAAGCATTCCAACTTCAAAAAAATCTAGTCATTCCTGTTCTACAATCCTTTGATCAAGTTTAACCAAGTTTCCTATGTCAAATCTAACCTTGCAATCCACCGGAGATCTTTCTATTTGTCCTTGAAACCAATAGAGGTACACTTCTATAATACCCTGGACCCTCATCCCAACCCCATAGTCCAACACTAATCAATTCCAATACAGCACTCCTCACGCAAATAATACACCACATTTACAGCAAACCCAGACACTAATGGACTTTACTAACCTCCATGTAAGAATGGCTCATGAAAAGGAGGATCGAACACAACAAAAGCAAATCCCAGAAATTCACCTGCCATTTGGGATAGATTTTCCTGGAAAAAAAAAAAAATTGCCTTTACTAACAATGGGTTATTTTACCTCTGTGTATTATGTTTATTACTTTGCTGTAACATAAATAAACAAATAAAAAGTGATTTTTTTAAAACTGTTATTTAAAATAAATGTACATACATAATTATTTTTTTAATTAATTTAGGGCCACATCGCAGGAAACATTTGCCTCGTCTGGTAATGTGATGGTGATATTTTTAAGAAGGCCTTCCAATTATGAGGATATCGAACCTGAATTTGTGGATGGGATGTTTTTATTCCATGACCGTAAGTAAAATTTTCTTAATTCTCCAATATCTCTTGAATTAAACATAAGACTTAAGTCTTAGATTATAAAATACGTTTTTTTTTTACTAATTGCAAATCCATTTTATTTTGTTTAAAGAACATGTTGATGGGACGCTACAACCAGACACTATCTGTGATGTTGAATTTTTTGGACATAGTAGTAATTCTGTGGGACAGGTTCGAAATCCAGGGAACCAGCATTATTTCTGGAACTCTCAGAATCCAATACGATGTTCACAAAGATTTATACCAGCTGCAAACCAAAGTATAACAATAAAGGTAACAAAAAACCGCTACAATTGTAGTAAAAATGATAATGATTTGGTAGTAATGGATTTGTTTATTATGATTATTAGGTTGTCTCTCTTACCCATCTTCCATTGGAAAGTAACTGTAAAACGGAATGTGGCGATGGTGGTTGCCGGTGTGTACCCAAAGGATACTTGGCTAGTGTTAACCATCTAGTTTTAACATCATCTACAGGCAAATCACTGTCGTGTTTGTGCAGTGACTTTAAGGTAAATCTCGCTCTACAATCTTGTACATTATGAAGTCCAAGTGAACATTCTATTTATTATAAACTTATAATAATATCTGTGGCTGCAGTGTATAGTGGGCTAAGTCCAAAATCGAAATTTTCAGGGTATTGAGTGGTGGATAAAATTCCCAACAATTTTTTTTTCTGGTTCTCTCAATATTAGCCTAGTTTTCGAAATCTTTTTCATTATTTTTCTTTACATTAAACACAATTTTCACAAGTTTTGACTATTCTTATCTTAAAATATTAGAGTGTAATTCGTATAATCTGTCTGTGTAAAAGTAAGATGTGTATAAAAATCTGTGGTTTTTTTTTTTTTTTAAATATACCACAACTTTCTAATCAATTAATTGTTTCTTATTTCTACTGTGCAGCAAGAATGGCTACCTGTAGGACTCCGAAGCTGGTCTCCTGTCAATGTTGTTTATTCCGTCGCTCCTAACAGCTGGGCCACAAAAGGCTTTCATTTCCAAGCAGATTATATTTTCCACAATGACAACATTTGTGGATTTCGTGTAATGAAACAGCATTCAGGTATTTATTAAATTTTATCCACATTCTCCAGGGTGCCATATTGATAGATTAAATTCCTAAAAAAAGTCATAAAAAATCTGTACCATTTCAAATTCAATTCATTTATATACTTTGAGCTCCATGTACCATAAAAGCTCTTTGAAGGTTGTGTTAGTGCGCTCTCTCTAATCCGAACTTTGGTATTTATAGTATTAAAAAAAAAGTAAAATAACAATTAAGGCTGACTTTTAAAACTTTAGAGTAGTAAAAGTTATCAAACCAAACAATAAAATGAAGTTGTAACAATTTTAGTACTTTCTGAAAATCTGTAATCATTATGGGAACAGATAAAAACACAAATAAACTCTCCATGAGCAGAGGTACTGTCTATGGAATAAAAGAGAAACCGAATTAGAGATATAAATAGATNTAAATGAGTGAGTGTGAGAGAGAGAGAATGAGTGCGAGAGGGGGTGGGAGAGGAAAAAGAGAGAGTGAGTGAGAGGGGGTGGGAGAGGAAAAGAGAGAGAGAGAGCAAGAGAGTGATAAGAGGGAGAAAGGGTGAGATGGAAAGAGAGGGAGAGAGAGTGAGGTACCAAACCAAGACCAGTTTAGACTATCAAATTTTTGAGAATTTCTTTTGTTCAGTCAATCCCTCACCTCCCTTCCCAACACTGCTAAAAAATGAAATGTTTGATCAGGCTACATTGTTCTTCTGTTAAGTGTAATTACATATCAATTGCTTAAAAATTAGATAAAAGAGGAAGAAGCAATAAAGAAAATGTTAAATAAATTTTATCAATTTTAAAAACTTATTTTTTAAAGAAAAATTGGCAGTATATGATTGTTTTATTAGGTTTATCGTTTTGACTATCCAATAATAATAAAATGTTGGGTTGAAATTTTTTTTTTTTTAACATATTTTTAACACTCACTGTCATTCAGATAACCCCTGCAATAATTAGTTTTGATTACTGAGAGAGCGCTCTACTTGCTTAGACAATTTTTTTTTTCATTTTGGAAATAAATTTTTTTTTCATTCATTCACACCTAAAAATAACCTATGATTAAAATTATCTGTTCAGAAGGTTTTATTATACTGAATACTATTATACTTATTATTATCTATTTATTATTTTCAATTACAAACATTGTTGCAACTATAACTGTTTTTATTAGATGATTAGCAAACTAAAGATGTTGAATATAATTGTATAAATATAATTTATATAACCAAACAAACACAATATAAGCCCTTATTTTACATGATTTGTTGTAAATTATCGTGGATTAAAGGTACCATAATACATTTATTTTGTTTGTCTGACAATTTCCAGGTACTGTAAGCTCAGGGCAGTTGGAAAGGGAGAACCCTTTGAATTATTATTATTTCCAAACTTGTCACTGGGTACTGGATTCCAACGTAGAGAGACAGCTTACTGTTGATGTACATAGCGTTCAAAATCGTAAGTTATAAACATTTGACTCAAGAGTAAATGACAAGCCTTTTTTTTATTTATCTGGCTTATTGAACAGACACGCTGTGTATGTAGACTTTTAATTTTAACAAAAACTATATATATATATTTTTTTGTTAAAATTTATATATGCCACTCATAATATATATATATATACAGGGTGAATTGCTACTCGTGCTACAAACTTCTCCAGTAGATTCTTCACCCTAAAATGAACAAAAAAGTTCATATTGTCCATGGTCCGATTCTCAACCATTTCAGAGTAATTTCGCTTTTTATCGATTTTGAAAGATATCACGTCCTGGCGTCGGAAAATCGTGATATCTTTTAATCTAAACATTTCTCTTAAAATCTATAAGCACCGTTGAAATCCCCGTTAATTTTTCAATAAGAAGATGAAGGTGGCAAAACGTTTGGGTCTTTCTTCCTTGACCTTCTAGCTGTTTGTAAACTTCTTAAGCATTACATACTAAATGGGCATTAAATTAAATTAAAAAATTTCAATGGAATTATGATTTTGATTCTCTCTAAAAATTAACGGGGATTTCAACGGTGCTTATAGATTTTCAGAGAAATGTTTAGATTAAAAGATATCACGATTTTCCGACGCCAGGACGTGATATCTTTCAAAATCGATAAAAAGCGAAATTACTCTGAAATGGTTGAGAATCGGACCATGGTCAATATGAACTTTTTTGTTCATTTTAGGGTGAAGAATCTACTGGTGAAGTTTGTAGCACGAGTAGCAAGTCACTCTCAAACATTAGCAATCCTTGAACCACCATTTTTTCTCTTTTTGTCATCAACATCTTGGTCTCACAACCACTAAATAAGAAAATGACGAGTGCGTTGGAAGCGTTATTAAATCAGGTAGTTTTCCTCAAATTTGCTGCCTTCTGAGACTAAAATTAGAAACTCTGGATTACTTTATACACTTTCCGATTTACACAATTTTCCACTCTTTTTGTAGTTCTGGCTGAAATAAAACACAAAAAATTAGCCCAAACATTTTGCCACCGTCATCTTCTTATTGAAAAATTAACGGGGATTTCAACGGTGCTTATAGATTTTCAGAGAAATGTTTAGATTAAAAGATATCACGATTTTCCGACGCCAGGACGTGATATCTTTCAAAATCGATAAAAAGCGAAATTACTCTGAAATGGTTGAGAATCGGACCATGGACAATATGAACTTTTTTGTTCATTTTAGGGTGAAGAATCTACTGGAGAAGTTTGTAGCACGAGTAGCAATTCACCCTGTATATACTCAGTGCAGTCTATTTTTAACACATTGAACATGAGATAATGATGAAAACTTGTTGAGATTGCAGGGTGGCAAATTTTTCGTCTAAATTAGCATTTTCAGGTTGAGCTCATAAGTAGAATGAAGTTCTTCGGAGCCCTGTGGATACAGTTTAATTTTTCTGCCACCTGCAACCTTGGCAGTAAAAGCAAGTTCTCACTTTACTAACTCACCCCCTAAACACTAGCTGTTTACGTTCTAGCTTCTTCTTGTACAAGAACTTCCTAACCATCCCTTCTTGTTCAATTAGGAATAAATATTGAACAAGAAGAAGCTTGAACATGAGTCCTGTTTTTTTTGTGTTTTTTATTATTATTATTTATTTATTTTACAGTTCATACTCTATTTTCAAAAATTAACACTGTAAAATAAATAAATAATAAAATAAATAAATAAATGTAAAAAAGAACAGGAAAGTAAAAATGGTAAAAACGTTGACCTTTCACCTCTTCCAGATGCTTCTCATGTTCAAGCTTCTTCTTGTTCAATATTTATTCCCAATTGAACAAGAAGAAGATAGAACGTAAACAGCCAGTGTTTACTCTTATTTGTTGTAATAACCAAATTTATTTAAAAATTAAATTACTTACAAATTAAATGAAAAGAACAATCAATTGCTTCTTTCCATCAATTCTGTAATTTCATTTAAAGTAAAAATAATCAAATCTTACCTTTAAAAACAAAAAAGTTGATAAAAAAAAGTTCACAACCTATTTTTTCTAGTGTCAATTGGAGTTATACTGGAAAGGTGTAATGTTTGAAAATTGATTTCATGCTGAATTTAAAGCTCGTTTTAAAATGGGAAAAATAATAGCCAATAGAATATGACACGTCTGAATAATGACCTGAGTCTCAAATGAGAGCCCCAGACAGAAGACAAGTCGGTTTTCATACGAGATAAGCCACCTAGCCATTACTTTACCGTGTAATAATTTTTTAACTTTTGAAAAGAAAGCCCATTAGGTTTAGAAAATGCATTCCAGTTGAATAAATGAGCCTGATGTTTTTGTTGAAATTAAAACCCTACATACAATATAGATAATACTAACCATTAAGAATTTGATTGCTACTGTTGAGTTATATTGGCACGTAATAAACATGTGTGTTTTATGAATGAGCATTTTTTTACTTTACTAAAAATCAAGACCTGAGATGGTTTCACTTCAAATAATACTTATTCTTTTACAGCTTAACATTCATAATTTTTTAAATAAAAAAAAAAATTAATGTCACTTATCAATGAATAATTTTATAGGTCCTTGTACTGCATGGAACATAACTCTTCATGAATACAATGAAATAAATCCTGAAAAAATTGGCGCATTATTGCATACATTTTGCCCAAGATACGTGCACAAAAGTTTCGAGCTTCCGTGGAAACTCAATATCATTGTAATCAGGTATGAAATTTCATTGAAAGCTCTATTTCTGAAAAAAGGTCTGTATTTCAATGTTAGTTTTTGATTGGAAAGATGTTTGAACAACTCCTTTGATGTCTTTGCCCCATAGTTGATTTCCTTGATTTAATCCCAGATCATTTTGGCTTCTTACACACTCTATGGTTTAGTATGATTTTGTTGTAATAATTACAACATAAGTTACAATTATTGTAACTGGTCAAGTCTGTACAAGTCCATTACCTTACTGCATCCATTATTATTTATTTGTTGTAGTTAATTCAACAGTTGTAAATGTACAATAAAAGGGAAAGCCAAAAATTGTTAAAATATAATATTGGATTTATAACATATTTTTCATTTTACCAGGTTAAATGCGATGACACGAATGGCACCGGATTTCACTTTTAAATGGAAATCACAGATTGTGAGGACGAATACGAGGTTGGCTGGCATCACACCCGCCCAGCCGTCAAACTCAGTAATTCAAACGAGTGATTGTTTATTAATTTTCCTTCTTGCTGTGATCGGATTGAAATAGTATGTGAAATAAATGTATATAAATGTGCTTTGAATGCAGTGTCTTTTACTGCCACTCATCTATATGACTTAACAAATTTATGTAAATTTAAAAAACAAAAAAATCAGCCAAAACTAAAGACTATTGAAGACCTTGTCCGAATTCAGAGGTTTTTCCACGTTTTCAATCTCCTGACAGTTCAAATTTAAATGAGCCAAAGTTAAATGCTGATCTCATCAAGAAAAAAATGAGGAAGTGCAATGAATCGTGTTTTAAATAGTTCATTAATTTCAGTGAACTGTGATTAAAATTCTATCCATCACCAGTAGTTAATTTAGAGATTTGTAAACTTTTGTAAAATGAAATACAAAAGTAACAAACAATATGTGTTCATTTATATTCAAGACAATTGTTTTGTTATATGATAAATCTATTAATAATTAATGATAAAACTCTTGTGAAGGTACTTAAATAAAAATGCATTTAACTGACATTAGTTTATTATTGTTGATGAATAATATAAATTGGATTTAAATGTCAACAATTATAATGGCATTATCTTTGAAATAAGATTTATTAAAATAAAATTTTTAGTTTTTTTTTAAATGTCTTTCTACATAGATAATTCAGCATTATAATAAATGAACTTCTTTTACATACTTTGTGTATTATATTTTTAAAAAAATGTTAATAAGTTCAACAATAGTGTCAATTGTGTAATGGTGACTTTTATTTTTTAAAAAGACATTGCTAGAGAAATATAAGCCTATGTAATGAAATTTGGATACTATAGCAAAATCAAGTTTGACCTTCCTAGGGGCCAATTGCAGAAATTTACAAGACCAGGGGAATCTATCTCTCAGATAGTTGCATTTCATGTGCTGCAAATTTTTCAAAAACTATAAAAAATAAAATAAAAAATACATGAGTGGTTGGCAGGCTGCATATGAGATTTTCCCTCAGAGCTCATTTCTCTAATAATCTTAGAATTTTTTTATTTTCTATTTTTATACATTGTTACTATTTATTTAGAAATCGTAAGATGCGGTCTGGTGTGATGTAGGTTTCAGAAAAACATTTTCTTTATCGTGCCAACGTTTCGATCTTTATTGAGATCATCTTCAGGGCCTGGGATTTACAAACACTGTTTAAATTGAACAAAATCATGTAGGATATGGAAAAAAGTGAATTTATACTATGCAAAAAATATTTTTTATATTCAAACAAAGTATTTTTTTAAATTCAAAGTGTTTGTTTCATGCGTAATTCGGCCATTCTTGCGTGTCGTGTCGAGAGTGCCAGTGAGATTTTGCTGTTTTATGTTTATATATGTTTGGTTTTGACGGGGTGGGGAAGGATGTCGGTATAGAAAGACATTTTTGTATAAGGCGTCGGCTTCTTTGCGGTGAAAGGAGCCGACGAAGAGAAAAAAATGTGTTGGTAATGGTTCGGCCAGATTATCCTTTCAGGATTATATGGAAAGGGATAAATAGGAAAAGTAAAGCTGAATTGTTGGGAAATTAGACTATGTGAAAAATATTTGATGTGTGGAATGTAATGTGATGATATAGGTATGTTATCTGTATTGAATTTGATTAATGATATTGGCGTAGCTGCGACTGAGTTTACATGTATCTGTTCTGTAATTGATGCTGTGTTTATCTCTGTTGATATAAACCATTTCTAAAAAATTACGTTTATATTTGTTTTGTTCTGTATGTAATATTTTTGGATTTTTAAAGTCGAAATTGTGTTGGTGTTCAAAATGGTAGGTAGCGAGTGCGGTAGGATTTTGCTTGGGTTTTTTACAATCATGTTGCTTTACTCTCTTATCCAGATATTGGGATGTAAGTCCAAAGTAAGTTGCCGGACAGTTTAAACAGTTGATCTTGCAGATTAAGTCAGATTTATTTGTTATTGGTGTGGGATCTTTAATTTTGGAAAAAAGTGTTTGAATTGTTTTATAATTTTTGAAGGCTATTTTGAAGTTATCGGACAAGAGAAATGTGTTTAATTTGTGTGATAGGCCTTGGTCTTTTCTATACCGACATCCTTCCCCACCCCTTCAAAATCCAACGTATATAAACACAAAATAGCAAAATCTCACTGGCACTCTCGACACGACATGCAAGAATGACACAATTACACAGAAGACAAACACTTTGAGTGAGTAGAAATACTTTGGTTGAATATATAAAAAACAAATATATATATTGCATTGTATAAATTCACTTTTCCACATCCAAAATGTAATTGTTATATATAAACAATGTTTGTAAATCCCAGGCCCTGAAGATGATCTCAATAAAGATCGAAACGTTGGCACGATAAAGAAAATGTTTTTCTGAAACCTACATCACACCAGACCGCATCTCACGATTTCTAAATAAATATCGATTAACGGTCTAATCACCACACATTGTTACTATCATTATAATGATTAAATATTTACATATGGGGACTGCAGTAGCTGAGTGTTCGGTGTGTCTAACAGCTTGTAGACCCCATCATCGCCCGTGGTCCTTTTTTTCACGATACCCTTTCCCGATGAATATGCTTAAAACCATTACATTCTCTCATTCCACAGTTAATTTCTATTTTACAAATGCAATTCCTCTCTGTTGAGTAAGATTTTCTCACATTGGGTTGTTTTTGTGAGTTGCCTTTCTGCTTGCCTCATGCCTGGTTTATGGCCATAATATATGTTGTGTTGTTGAGTTATCCAAGATTCCAGTTCTTTTTTAATGTGGATTTGCGATTGTGTTGCCCAAAGGTGACATTTTTAGTCGGGCAAATGACTTTCTTGTTGCTTCTCTCATGAACTGGAACTCACATCCTTTACAGGCAGGAGTCCGTCAAGGCAGAATCCTTGGCTCTATTCTCTCTATTCACTATACATTGCAGACATTCCTAGCAATCTCGATATAGTGCTCCTTACACAGTGGCCTGCATAAACCTCCAGGACCATCACTTCTGTTTGAAAGAATGGGCGAAGAAATGCAGACACAATGAAACCAAATCCTTACAAATAACCTTTTCCCTCTGCTATATCACCTTTTCCCTAACCTTTTTTATATCTAGTCGTCTTCCAGCAAATAATGTTTGCATTTGTGACTTTTTATTGACAAAAGCCTAATTTAAAACCTCACACTCGAGTCTGAAGGATAAAATTGAACATCACAACTATAAACAATCGTATGGAATTAAACCATTGGGTTCAGCCATGCTGTCCAACCTCAAAATAATCCATTAACTGTCCAAATTCCTTTGAGCCTAAGCTTTCAAATTAAAATCCAACCTTATTCAAAACTCAAACTGCTAAAAGTCAATACACGTGCTTTCATGGAATCTTGACTCTCATCAAAAGCCCCTAGTCAAACAATATTCATCCTGAACCATTATCTACCAATCCTCTGAGACGCCTAAGCACCAATGGCAAAGTTAGGCCGAGTGGGTTGAGTTACCTGAGATTCTATTAGTTCGTTTTAATGATTTTATGTCACAAAACGGATTTGTGCACTATTTGTTGTCCTGAGGCGACCATTTTAGATGGTTTATTTGCTTCCTCATTGCCTGAAATTTTTTCATGACCTAAGACCCACTTTAGTGTTGTAGAACTCAACTTTTTAAAAGCATATTTAGGCATTCATAAAAGTTTTGATTTGATCTCAGACTTGGAGCTGTAAGACAAAAATATTCATGATTTCCTCTTAAAAAGTAATTAATTGGAGCAATTTATTATTTATTTATCCTCACTGCACTAACAATTTTCATTGTTTGTTCAAATGATTCATTTCCCAATGTCAAATTTTATAAAGGAAAGGAACAAAAAATTTAAGAGTGGTACTTTCATTAACAGCTGATTGTGGGATGAGATAACTTCGCACTGAAAAGAATAATGTTTAATTTAAAATGAAGTGACTATAGATAGCACTAGATTAATAGATAGATCAATAGATTAAGAAAAAAAAATTAAAAACTTACAAACCAAAATTTTTATGAGAGAAAATCTTATATACTGACCACCCATGGATTAACGAACAACTTATGCTTTATTCTTTTTAATCAATAAAAAAATGCTGGTTTTGTTATATGATTATACCATTAAATCCTAATTTTTATATTAAAAATTTAAATCTTTATTGTTACGCATAATATTTGACAATACTGACCGGAGCGAATGGCAAGCAATTCTGTTGGGTCACAATAAATCATTTATCTTTTAGATTAGAGTAAAAATTATATATTTTATATGACAATGTCAAATACAAATGGAAAGCTACATGAGTGATGGTTATTCTTAGGTTAATGCAATCTAAAGGATGTATGCTCTAATTGGAAGGTTAAATTTAAAAAAGTTGGGCATAAAATAATTTATTTTCATTAGTGTAATTTGTTATATTTTGTAATAAAAAGCCTCTTGCACAGAATAGTNAGTATATATATAAATCTTTATACTTAATCAGATAGAAACTCTATATTTGAAAACAAAATCTCTATATTTTATGCAGCTCCCTTGAAACATTAGTGCCAAATTAAAGAATAAAAAGAAATAAAAAAAAGAGATAAGATAAAACTGTAATAAATAATTTTTGTCTTTTATTGTGTTTAAGATACTAATGTTAATAAAATATCACTTTTTATTTATTTTAAGTAGGATGATAAAAAAAACCTTTTTCAATTCATATTTTGTTTTTTAATAAATGATAATTTTGACACGTATATTATATTACAATGTTATATACTCATTAAATATTTAATGAATTAATTATAATGTTATAGCTTTTTATTTCCTTTATTAGCTGTTACAGATTTTATATGTATGAAAAAAGAAACAATATGTTTTCTAGATGTTCAGAGCATAAGCTCAAATCCCAAGGTTATGTTGCGATCACTTTGGGATCTGGTGTATAGAATAGAAAATTGTATTATTTCAAATTGACATTCATTGCACGTTTTAACTCTAAAACACGTCCAAGAGTTCAGTACACCCCTGTTTTGGTGAGCAGTAATGATTACATAGAATTAATATCATATAAATTGCTCAAATGTAGGCAGTATTAACATTCACTACATGTGTAAATTTGTAAATATGTACATTAGTTTATATATGTAATAAATATTATATGTAGCGATAAAAAAATAGTCCTTAAAAAATGTACATTCCTTTCCCTACACCCTGGAAATGAAATAAAGACAGATTATATGAACAAATATAGAATAAATAGTTGGAAATTAATCGATTTTTAATTGATGATTCTTTTTTTTATTGCTTTTTCATTCCATCATATCAACCAGTATTGGGTGGATAATTTAAGTTAATAGCATGGCGCTTGTTCTATTTCTCACAGAGGTGTAAAAATGAATGAATAATATATATACATCATGTGACACATACATTT